ATGCTTTTCTTACCTTTAATTTTAATTTTTTCACTTCCCTATTGAAGTAGTCAGGGTCTGAATTTTTTCTGAGTATTCTATGTGGAATAAATCTTTCGATACACTGAAGTATTATGTTCTTGAAATTATTCCATACTTCCTCAACGCATCCACCATTGCTTGCCCATATTGCAAATTTATCCCGGAGAAAAGTTTGTAGACCTATGGTATCTGCTTTGTGGTACACCGGTACCAGTCTTTCTACTGCTGGTCGACAGTATGTTTCTTCCCTTTCTACTTCTAATAACATCCCACAATGGTCACTGATCCCTTGTATAACGCTGCAAGAGGTAAACAGGTTTTCCGGCCGGACTAAGTATACATCCAGCAATGCATCCCTTCGTGTCGAGTTGTTTACTACCTGCGTGTACCCACTTTCCCACACCAATCTATTTACAGATTCCTGACCTCCACTAGTGCATTGCACGTTTCCATTCCAATCGGCGTAGGGCAAGTTTAAGTCTCCTGTAATAATGCTACGCTTTGTAAAATTTCCTAAACAATCGACTCGGGCTGCCAGTCTTTCTATAACCCGCATATCCTCATTCTGAGCTCTGTAGATGCCTACAATTTCCCATGTACATTTAGGATCTCTGCCTTTCACTTCAAATGCAATCATTTCGAAATCCTCGTCCACCCATCGTTCCACGCAAGCAATGTAATTCTTTACACAAATAAACACTCCACCACCTCGAGTATTCCTATCTCTCCTGAAAGTTGTGTACTCGTCCCTGAAAACTTCGAAATTGCTAATGTCCTCTCTGAGCCATGACTCCGTACCTATTATAACATCGGGATTATATGTATCAATTAAATTCCAAAATTCTAAAGATTTATTAAGAATACTCCTGCAATTTACCTGAAGCAAAACCAAAGAATTGCCCTCTATCTTCTGTGCCCCTCCCGTAGCTACACATCCATCACTTGTGTCTTCCTGTCTCCTTGTCGCCGCCCCGGTTAGCGTCGGATCCTCGGTAATCGTGTTCGTCATCCTTCCAGGCGTTCCCTCATTGTTAACCCTCAGCAGCAGTCACTCGTTCCGATTTTGCACTCGGCCGCCGAAGTCACACACTCTGGAATACAGCTGGCCTAGTTTCCTCGCTCCGCTACTGTTTATGTGTAGTCCATCCCTGCCGAAGTCCCAGTCCTCAATCCAACTGTTTGGGTCCACAAATGTAACTCCTAGTGACCTCGCTACACAGTCATATCTGTCGTTTAGTGCTCCAATACGCCGCCACGACACGTCTCTGCGCCTAAGTACGCCACTCAGAACTAAAGTGGCTTGAGGAAACTTAGTCTTAGCCTTCTTCACCAGAGCATATACATCACCCATCACATAATCCAGATTTCCAGTTCGTCTTAGATCGTTAGTGCCTACATGAATTACGACAGTATCAGGGGCTCCTATATCTCTGTTGTCTATGACTCGCTGCAGTTGCTCAGTTCTAATTCCTGGAAAACTCTGTACCCTCTTATGTTCAGCTTCCACATTGCGTATAATGGAGTCACCCAACACTAAGCACTCAGCATCTTGTTGTCTCTGCACCGTATCACCCCTGGCAACCGTTCCTCGTAACTGATCTTCCAGCGCACTGTTCTTCTGTTTAAGTTCTTCAATCTGCTTCATTGCATTCTCCAGTTTCTCCTCCAGTTGTCAAAGCCTGCCCCACCTGCATCTCTCACAACTCCACTTCCCTCTCTCTCCCATTTGGGCCCTTACATTGCCACAGCTGTTGTGAAACCAGCGTCCGCATGTGTCGCACTGTGTTCCCGATTTCAGGTTCCTCTCACACCCGCTACACAATACTTGTAGAATGTTCTCAGCCTCCACAACAGGACCAGGGTTTTGCTCCACACCGACTATTACTAATACTATGGCTAGAGCCGCTGCGCATAGAAGCATGTTGCCTATGTAGCTTCTTGCTTGTCCGTTCACCTCCCGGCCTTGGACATGGCGCCAGGGAGTCCTTGCAGCCCAGTTGCCCACACGAGCTCGATAGTCCTCCAGGTAGCAACCCATTTCTATTAACTCTCCGCAAACACGACCGCTCTCGACAACACTTCAGGAACAACTGACAGATGGTTCCAAGATATATAAGGGCACTGGAGCTGGTGTGTACTGCTATGGCATGAGGCGGAAACTTAGTTTCAGCCTTGGGTAGTACACGACAGTATTCCAGGCAGAATTATATGCCATTATTGCATCTATTATGGAGAATTTAGATAGGACCTATAGAAATAGGCACATATATACTTTCTATCTGACAGTCAAGCTGCACTTAAAGCGCTTGACAAACACCAGATCAACTCAAAATTTGTCTGGGATTGCTACCAATCCCTCATGGAACTGGCAAAACATAACAGGGTGCTACTGATATGGGTGTTGGGGCATGAGGGTATTGCTGGAAACGAAACAGCAGACCAATTAGCTAAGATTGGAGCTGAACATCCGGTCATAGGACCTATACCAGCTTGTAGCATCTCTATAGGAGTTGCCAGACAGGCAATCATTGACTGGACAAACATGAAACAAAGAAATACTGGGGAACATTGACAGGACTCAGTCAAGCAAAGGGACTCATTCGAGGACCCTCAGCATAAAAGCGAAGGAACTGTTGAAGTTAAACAGGAACCAGCTACGATGGGTGGTGGGACTACTTATAGGACAATAGGACACTGTCACCTTAAAGGACACCTCTTCAAAGTGGGACTAAGTGATAGTCCCACTTGTGAGAGGTGTCAAGAAGACACTTCAATCGTTTGTGGGCGAGAATTCTTCGAATTCCACCTGAATATCGAGAGCAAGTTTACTGGTCGCTCATCCACGACAATGTCCCAACCCACAAATCAAAGATCGTGCGCGATTTTTTCACCAGGAAACCGATCACAGTCCTTGAGCATCCTCTGTATTCGCCAGATTTGGCTCCAGCAGATTTCTGGTTCCCAAAAGTTAAGTTGGCGATGAAAGAGGCCATCACGACACCATCCAGGACATCCAAAGGGAATCTACTGCAGTTTTAAATACGATTCCACAAAAGGAGTACAGTGACTGTTTTCAAGAACTTTTCAATCGATTCCAGCTATGTATTGATTCAAAAGGAGACTATTTTGAATAAAATGATGAAGTTTTGAAAATAATTCACATCTTGTATTTTTAATGAACACAGTTCTAACAGAACCTGGACACACTGTGTATACTGGAAGGTGGATAGAACTGGTTCATCCTTATGTCCAATGGCAGGATTTTGTATAAGCTGTCTTGAACCTTTGGATTCTGGTACCAAAGAGTAAGTAAGATGAGTCTCAGAGTAATAAGTTATGAGGATGGGCAACAGATGAAATTGGCTCAGGATTATGTCCAATGCTGTGCTTCGATACTAATTGTGTTGAACCTCCAGGTTTTGCTACCAGTGAGACAGTTAATTAGGAAGATGGATTTTGGAGGAATGTGTTGCAAGGTGGATGGACCTGGCTTAATATCGTGTCCAGTAGTAGGCTTTGAAATCAACAGCGTCACATCTTCTGGTTCTCCTACCAAAGAGTTAATTATTAAGTTTAGTATAAGTCTGTGCTATCATGTGACACAAACCACGCTGTCATCTGAAATTGGGTAGTTATTTAGTTATTGAACTGCTGGAAGGATGTGTGTGTGCCAGCCACTGATGTGATCATAATTACATTTCAGATTACTTGAAGAACATGACATCTATAATAGACATTATTAGTTCAGTATATGTCTCAGAGGTCAAGTATACATGTTATCTTGGCAGAAGTATGTTGCAATTGAGAACTGTGTGTGAAAATGAACCTCATGTTTATCCCATACATAGTTACATTTATAGGTAAAAATTAACTGGGATTATTTCTTTATTGGCTCTTGCTATGTTCAGGTTACCCACTTCAGAACAATGACCCCTGGGTGTATGTAGGAAATGTTGGCTCTCTCACAAACCTATGGGCCTTCACAGCCTGTTACAGGATAGTTTTCTTCTTCCATCTCCTTGTATGAAGAATATAAATGTGTAAATAATCTTTATTTTTTGTAAATAGTTACTGCTGTATCTGTGTTTCCAATTTAAGTTATCAGGCCTATCAATTAATAGGCCAAAAAGTAAGTTGTTACAACTTATTCAATTCTTTTATCATCCTAACCTATGTTTAGGTCAATACATACTTTCATTGTTAGTAACAAATTCTGAAATTTGTATTGTAATAATTTAATGTTAGTTTACTGGCTTCAAGCCACTGTCCAGAGTATTACAAACATCCATGCATTTTCTAATTATGTTCATTTCTGAACATAAAATGATAGTAATATCCTCAGCAACATGACTTAGGATTTTACTAACTCAAAATGTCAGTATCTTAGTGTTAGAGGTTTGATATCAGATGTTTTCATTCAGAATGCAGCCTATGTTTTAGTATAAGTTTTTTAGTGCTTTAATTACGTATTGTATTCTGTTGTTCTGTGCATGTAGAGAGGGTCTTGTAATCCTCAGATTATGATCTGAACACACCTGTAATCTGGTATGAGGAATAACTACTGTATGGTCAGTGTATTATGTAAATGGGTATTGTTCGAGATATTTCATATCTGGAAACTTTTAAGTATTTCTTCATGTTATACACATCATTTACAAATCAAACTGATCTGATTTGTTTCATATATGTGATGAAACTAGTTATACCATTGAATGCAAATATCTATTATAAAAGATTATCAACTCTGTCCAGTGTGACTGATAAATTTTTTTCTCTCTCTGTTTAATCCTCCATCCTTCAAATGTATTGATACTGACCAATAACACTGTATAGTAGTTTCTGCCTGTATTGATATATCCTTCTGAAGATGGTCCCTCAGACCAAAACATGTCAAGGATGGAAGATTAAAAAGAGACAGAAAAAGAAACATTTATCAGTCACACTGGACGAAGTTGATAACCTCTGTTATAATATTGCTAGTGTGATGGACCAGGATGAACCAAAACGAATAGCTATGGCCAAAACATATTTTTTTCAAACGTTTGTGATGAACATTTACTTTTTTGACTAGATGTATCAATTTTGCCCAAGTAGGTAGGCTCTTTTACCTGAGGATTGTGACAGAGTCCAGCCTCAAAAATGTTGTTTTTAAATAAAAACATAATGGCTAATTTCCAAAGTCATTAATTGTATGTAGTGAGTGCAGCTGTTATCCAGATTCTCCACGTGTAGAAGTGGGTTAGAACATCTACAGCGCAGCCCTACAAGTTGCATATGGCAATGATAATGGAACCTCCTGCCCTCCTGCCTGCGGGTATAACTGGGCCACCCTGCCTACCACTGGTCCTCCAGGTTGGGGAGACTTGGAAGCAAAGGCTGAGGCCCACAAGCTCTGTACAATATTATTGTTACAGAATCCAAAAAAACAAAAAACCGGATCAAATATGGCACAATCGCCTAAGGAAGGCTGTGGCTGAAAAAGTGGTTTTGCTAATAATGATGATGATGGTATCTCCCTTCGCGTGTTACGGAAGCAGTGGTGAGCCTAGGAATTGTGGATAATGGCTGCTGCTGGCGGGGACACCCATAACGCTAATAACGTCGTCACTTCACTACATCTTCGAATTTTCTATAGAATTATTAATGATGGCAAATGTTAGAACCTTAAACCTTGCCGTCTAAAAAAACTCACTTCACTTATATTTCAGTCCGTAAGATACCAGTTTCTAATTTTCTTCTTGTTGGTATTCTGCAAGTTGATCATTATTCGTAATGGTTAATGATCGCTCATATAACACGGTTTAACTCCAACTTGATTTCGCGTTTTTTGGAAAGGCTTCAATCGCTTCAATTATTCAACAGTTTCATTACATGTAATACCATAAATCAATTAGTAATCTCACGCAGAGTTAACTGTGTTCCGCCGGTCGATATAATCCGTGTGCTACAATCAGCTGTTCGTGTCAGGAACAAAATGTCGGCTTTCGGGTGATTAGTTGGATCACTTGCAAACAGTGGGTAGCAACTGGTAGCAACTGTCGCGAAGTGGGATGCCCAGTTTTTGGTTGGGCCTACGATCGTTACTTTCTAATTATATTTTGTAAGTAGGGTGAGATGTTGAAATTTTTGGTAAGTTATTAATAATAATATATATTTAATATTATATAAATTGTAGATTATGTAATTCATTGCCCGTTATCTTTTTAACAACGTTTGCTTGCAAGTTTATTTATACGCATGCCCGCTTTATTGAAAAAGGCGTTGTATCTTAAAGAGACTGGATTTAAAATTCTATTTTATGATGTTATTGTTTACTTGCAGATAACTTTTGGAACAGGGGTGTATGTTGGGGTCTATCTGAGTCAAAATTATGAGGTAATTATTGTGAACATTTTGTTTGTGTGTTCTTATAAGAAGAGAATTACACGTGACCAGCTTGACAAGATATTTGTTGCATCATTACATTGCATGCTTAATAGTTAGATTTGTGTATTTTTCTGAAGTCATGGTATTTGACCTGTTACCCTTAGATGTTTCAATAAATTCTGTTCTCCATTGTCACTCTCGTCATGTGGATAATATTCCTGGATACAATATATTTTAGATTCCCAGAGTTGATGAACCAGCTGAGCTTTTGGAAAGGATAAAGAAGTTTGTAGATGAACACAAAAAGAATAAATAGTTAAAACAGGAACCTAAGTCTGTATATGAATAACAGGTACTGTATATCTTATTATATATATGTAATAAATAGAAATACTCACTGACAGTAGAATTCACAGGCATCATGCAGAGCTATGCAGACATCTGAATCAAAGGGCTTCTACATTTTCATGTTAGTAATTATTAAATTCATTTGCTGCATTTCGCTTCATTGACACAAGTGCCCTGTGACCGAAAGAAGAGTTAAACTTTGGTAGCAAGTTGTAATATGGATGGTGAAAAATATGGTTTGCCAGTGGTGACTAGAATTATTGGATGGAGACTAGTATCTCACTTGGTGTGCAGTTGTTGGGAGCTCTAAATTCAGTTTGTTCCAATTACCTTATGCCTGGCATACATATGTATAGGAGAAATACTGTGGAAGTAAGAAATTCATCATACCCACAAAGTAGGGGCAAGAGATTGAGCCAGCAGAAAATACTGATTGACCTTTTTCTGGCGACCAGAATATTTGTCTGGCTACCAGATTTTCAAAAATGTCTTCACCTCATGTGATACATGTGTCTGTGCTACTGCTGAAAGTAACGTAATGTAAAGTTGTCCCTGTGCGTGAGTAGATAAGCACCATGTCATGAAGCTGTATGGTGGAGTGCAGGTATCACTCCACACATTCTTAACCTTGGCACTAGTTGGAAGTGAGTGTTAACATTCACATCCATATCACTTCACCTCTGGGGCAGAGCCCTTAGTACCCATTTGCAGGAGACTGAGTATGCGCCAGAACTTGTCTCAATCATGTAGAAAAGAGAAAAATCTCTTGCTCCTGTCAGGAATTGAACCCAAAGTTCTCAGCCAACTAACTAACAGCCACATCCCTGTACCAGCCTCCTTACTAAAGTCAGAAGGTATTACTAACACATACTTTAACTCTCATTTCGATGGGGCGTTATTGAATTTGCATTATAATTCTGAATTTTAATTTGTATTATACAGACCAGAAACAGGGGGCACGCGGTAGCATAGGTAGTTGAGGCACCATGCTACAAGCCGGAAGGTCGCAGGATCGAATCCCAATGAAGTCCTTTGCCTTTTTTCAATTGACCTAATTCTTCCAGCCGCACTATGGCCCTGGGGTCGACTCAGCCTCTAACAGAAATGAGTACCAGGAATATTCTTGGAATGTTTTGGGGGGTAAAGGGCGGCGGGTGCATAAGGCTGACATCCATGAGCTGACTGTCTAGAAAATGTTGGAGCCTCAACATCTCACAACCCTATGGGCCTCCACGGCCTGTGACAGGGTTGCCTTTACTTTTACTTACTTTACTTTTATGGACCAGAAACCAATATTTAATTGAGATTTGAAGTTGTGGTCTTCTGGAATGTGATGCCATTTACTATAACATCTGCGCAGAAGATGGAGGCAGCATGTTCCTCCAAAACGCTGGCAAACATATGCCAAATTACATGGCATCACATTCATAGTCAGATCTATCAGAAGCGTGAGTTCCATCTTGTCTGAATACTAGTGACGAGATATATTAGTATACCTTTTCTGCATAGACCAGCCCTGTTGGTAGTTTATGTGCCCCTCTTTAGGACATTTAAGTTTGTAATAAATTAATATCATCATAACCTAGTAAGTCCATTCTATTCCAGTTTGTCTCCAAGTTGAAAGCAATGGCAACAAAGCATTTTAGAATAGGAATTTATATCGGAGAAACTTTCACTAATACACACCTTCCTGTACATTTGTATATAACAACAGGATGATCCATTTAGAACATACCCTAATGGGAAACACTGAATAATATATTTCAGTGTACAGTCAAGCACTATACAATCTCCAAGTAAGTTCTTGTGGGTTTTTTTGAACACACTGTATACCAGTATGTCTTTTTAATTAAATATCCCAGTTCCCAAATATTTTACGTACATTTAAGTTATCGAGGCTGGGAGTAGCTTTGCTTACATCCTGAAGTTGCAGATCATACTTTGGAGCTGAATTGTATGAAAACTGCAAGTGAATTATTCAGTAGGACTACTACATGGAATGGAATCTCTCAAAGCAAATGGAATATGGCAGAACTCGCAATCATATCATCTCATTACACTTCTTGTGCACAGGTCATACACAGCCTTGGTGGGTCTGTCTTTCCTTGATCACAATGCAATTATTTTTTCCAGTTTATGTTTTTGTTCAGGTCCCAGATAATCTGCCTGGAAGGTCTTGCTTGGACCCCCTGTAGCAGTAGTTCCTTCACTGGTCTAGCATAATCTGAACTAGACTCGCTTGCAATATGCTTCTGAATTCTTCTCCTGTCTCACCAATTTCAAATTGTACATTTGCCTGTCTTGAACTGAAATATTGACCATTCTGTGAAGAAATTTTTGCCCTTTCATCATGCTTTCAGCTTTTCTTCTAAGGTCATGTGAAATTCCTCGTAGCATCAGACTCATTTATCTTTGTAATATGGTACAATAGGCCAGAAGTGGCCGCAATACAAGGGACTTAGTCCCACCCCACTAACAATAAAAAAATAATCTTTATAATAAATGTTCATATAATTTCACACCGTTAACACTATTTGTCCCAATAGATGTGATTTAGACCTATATTAATGTGCAGAACTGACAGAACATGTCTTCCAGTTTTTACCAATTGGCTGTGTGTGTGTGTGTTGCATATATATCCTGATTCAGCTTCGTACACCATTCTCACTAATTTCATGGGATTATACATTCTAAATTTTAGGCAGCACCTCCATGGATCATGCCTTCATCCATTCAGAGTTCTCTTTATGAACTGTAAACTGGTTTGAACTTGAGAAGAAATATTCAGAAACAGGTTGAATTTTGTAGAGGCTGCCTGAGTCTTGTTGTGTGTGGCTGTTATCATTAAGTGTCAATCTTGCCAGACAACCTCAGAACGGCTTCTACTCACAGTCTGGGGCAAAACTGGTATGCATATTATGGGGTCATACTCTATTTCTAACCTCTGCCAACAAAACAATTTTGGACTTCTTCAGTGTTTAAATAATGTTTCCCATCAGTGTGCAGTCTGTGGTAGAGATTAGATTTGTGTATAAGAAATTTCATAAGTTAATCACCCATTACAGCCCTGACCACTTCAGTGACACTGACAGAGTTTTTGGAAACTGTATTCAGTCCCGCAGTTCTGGGAAATGTCTCATCATTCACTTTCAACTCAGTTTTTGCCTAATTCATCACCAGAAAGAATGCTGTAGTTTTGGCTGAAGAATTTTCACCTTCAGTTGCAGTGCATGGCTCATTGTCACTCACAGAAATGGGAAAAGGCTACAGCAATTCTTAGACCTGACCTTCTGGGATGCATGTTGGAAGTATGGCAGGAAGTAGCAGGGCAGTGGTTCCAGCTGAATTATGGGGAGGTCACTGTAGTAACCCATACTCTGCAGTCTGTATCACAGTCAGTGGCCTACATCAGATCCACTCTGCATTCTGTTGAATATGGCCAGGTCTAAAAACACAGGCAGTAGCTAAATTGGCAGCATTACGTTGAAGAAAAAAAAAGTAGATAGATACCCAAACCGGTGATGGCTTCATCAGTGTTAAGGATTTATCATTCAGTACATTCAGCAGTAGGTATGTTAAAAACCGACCTGCATAATGTTGCAACAAAATGTTGTGTTCCGCCACCACTTTCCCACCCAAACCCATGTCTGGTACTGCAGAAAGTTCTGTACCTGAGAGCATGACTGCTGGTGGTCTGTGTCTGGCAACAGAAACTTGGCTGTAAGGGACACAACAATGCTGCGTTACTTCCATTTTTACAATATATTGCATGGTGGTTCAACAGAAACGAGCAGATTGAATGGTAGAATTGTTATGCATTATCTAAGGACATCAGTTACAAGGGATGTGTTTATTATTATGAGGCCTAACATCTCTCTTCAGGCTGCTAATAACCCTGTCAGCCACAGCAGCACCCACAAGGCAAAGAATGATTACAGCTGACAAAAACGTAGATCTATATGATCCTCTGCAGTGCATATGATTTAAATCATGGCTTTCAGTGTGATTAGTCTGCACTGTATAAAAGACTGTGTGCACCAAAATAGTCTGAGAAGACTCCAACTGCAAGTGAACATTGGAAATGTCATGCAAGAAACTCTTGAAACATGGTCAAGAGAACTGATGCATGATTCAGGACAGTGAACACAGGTTACATCCACCATGTTTTGTGTTCTATATTCAGTGAAATAGAAAATATGTTCAGTATTTGCTTATGGTTTGAAATGGTATATCCTTTTGCTGTGAACTACATAGGTCGTACTGAAAGTCATGAGCAACTTTTTTTTTTTGCATGCGACCTGGGAACAGCAGACAAAAGAGAGTACGATGGTAGGTGGAACCGGCTGTTGTGTTAACCTTGAGTGTCTTGTGACGTCAGTAGCTTGCATCATGTGACCAGTATCACTTCTACCAAAATGGCTGATGATGATGTCGTTTCGCCAGCATGCTGTCATCGAATTTCTTGTGAAAGAGGAAATCCCTGCTGCAAAAATTCACCAGAGACTTCAGTGTGCTTATGGAAGTGTGCATGGGTGCGAGCAGTGTTCAAAGATGGGTGAAACATTTTAAAGATGGGAACACCAGCATCGAAGATGAGCCTCAGAGCAGTCGTCCTCGAACAGCCTCAACTGAACGCAACAAGGAAAGATTGGATGAGATCATTGAAGATGATAGGCGTGTGACTGTGAACACAATAGCCCAAAAACTTGGAATAGGGTACAGTGCAGTACAGGAGATGATTGAAAGCTTGGGCTATAGGAAAGTTTGTGCTCGTTGGGTCCCGCAGTTATTGACCAAAGACCACAAAGGTCAGCGAAAAGCCATCACCTCAGAACTGCTGCAGAGATATCGACATGAATGCAGTGATTTTTTGCTCTGTATTGTGACGGGTGACGAAAGCTGGTTTCACCATTTCGAGCCTGAAATGAAACAGCAGAGTATTGAATGGCACCGTTTGCATTCTCCATCAAAAAAGAAGGCAAAGACAGTGCCATCAGCTGTGAAGGTGATGCGCACAGTCTTCTGGGATGCAGAGGGGTTTATTCTGGCGGAATTCCTGGAACCTGGGCAAACCATCAATGTTGCTCATTATGCCCAGATGCTGCACAAGCTCCATCGTGCATTGTGCAATAAACGTCCGGGACGAAACATCATCATCCTGCATGACAGCGCTTGCCCCCACACTGTTCGCCTCACATTGGAAGCAATTGCAAAGATGGGGTGGGAAGTTCTTCCACATCCCTCCTATAGCCCTGATCTGGTACCCTCCGACTACCATCTTTTCAGATTTGTGAAGGATCAACTGCGTGGACGTTTTGAGACAAGGGAGGAAATTCAGAAAGCAGTGCGTCAGTGTCTTCAGATGGCTGGAATGGAATTTTACAAAAGGAGAATTTTCAAACTCCCGGAACGCTGGGAGAAATGTGTGCAAAGAAGTGGCGATTATGTGGAAAAATAAAAAAGGTCTGTAGATTGAGGTGGTGTATTTGGTTGTCAATAATAAAGCATGCTGCTCATGACTTTCAGTACAACCCTCATATATAGGGCTGACATGTCACATTAATGGCAGCTTGCATTCACTCCCAAAAATTCTGTCCCCTTATTTTTATACTGAAATTTGGTATAAAAACGGAAACAATTACATGAGTAAGTTTTGAGGCTTTCTTCAATTACATGAGTAATCAGGTGCTTGGTGCCAAGTTTTCAGAAGATGGCTTAATCTCTACCAGGAATGTGATCGGTGGGGCAAATAGCACATGTAGAATAAACTGGAAATTTATACAGAATTTTCATCAGAAAACCTGAAGGTACAAGAGACCTTGCAAAACCTTAGGTAAATAATATTAAAATTGAACTTAAAGAATAATGGTGGGAGAGAAGCGTGGGTGGATTCATCTGCTTCAGGATAGGGCACAGTGGTGGGCTTTTGTGAACACAGATGTGAACTTTAGGTCCCATGAAAGGCGGGATTTTCTTCAGTAAATGAGTGATTGTTAGCTTCTCAAACTGTGCTCAAGTATAAGGTATTATATCCAGAGACACCATATAGGTGTGCATATATTTGAAGGAGAAAGCTCTAGATCGCATTAAGTGGAGGAATTGTTTTGAAAGAGACTGTGGACCTGTCGTCTTGACAGATTACTGATTACTGATGATGATGATGTATGTGGGTGGTTGCCCCAGCATTGATCTAACAAGCGTCTTATAAATTTGTACTCTTCTTGTATATAAATGTAAATAAAGATAAAGTTATCCCTGTAACGGGCCCTGGAGGCCCATAGGGTTGTGACACAACGAGGCTCCCACATTTTCTAGACCAGTGTTCCGCAATCTTTTTCTACTCGCAGCACACCGTGAAGTATCCATGACTCAGCAGGGCACACCAAAATGTTATTCCCCTCAAAAACGCATGATATCAGACAATTAATATAAATACGTAACGTGATCAACTTATTACTATAATATTATTATGTTATTTTATTATCATTAAATAGAAATCGACTCATGCATTTATTAGCAATTAATGAACTTTAATTCACTGTAGAGTGTAGAAAACACACTTCTATTACTATTAAAGTAATTCTACTCATACCTTCAATGTGATACTTGCACCTGCGTAGCTGCACACAGACAACTGATCCGTGGTGGAATCGTTGACAACGCAAGTCTCATTTCTTCATCGATGGATTTGAGCTGCTCCCTCTTTGATGTCTTAATTTCAGTTAACGTCGAGAAGGCCAGTTCACACAAATATGTAGTTGAAAATGGCAATAACACATTAACTGCCATCTCGGAGATAGCCGGGTATCCACTCCTTATTGCCAACCAAAACGAATCCAAAGGCACTTCGAGAAGTTTTAGTTTCAATGTTCTGTCTTATTATAAATCTGCGAATTCCTCTTGTATATTAATCGTAAGATGATCTGAATTCGCAACGAATGGATCACGAACACAGTCGAAATCTTGTGCACTCTCTCCAAAATACTTATTGAATTTCTGCTGCAGCATTTCTAAATGTTCTTTAATTGTGTCCATCGCCACTTTATTGNTTGACTTATTGACTTGCAACTGCACTACCTCACCCAAAGGTTCTCTGTATATGATGGGTCACATAAAAGCACTGCCTTTAAGAGTGCTGTCCATTGTTGTGTTTGTATCTGTTGCCTGGGAAATGTTTATTGAGCCGTTACCATACAGACATGTCAAAATTCTTTAACACTTTGCGGACCAGCGATTTAAATATTTAAATCACCCTGG